TTAGTTCCACATCCTTCCCAACACTTGTTATTTCTTGTCTTTTTGGTATTAGCCATTCTGACTGGTGTAAGGTGGTATCTCATTGTGGTTTTGATTTGCATTTTCCTCATGATTAGTGATGTTGAACACCTTTTCATGTATCTCTTGGTCATCTGTATATCTCTTTGGGAAAATGTCCTCTGCCCATTTTTTTTTTTTTTATCAGATAATCTTTTTTCTGGTATTGAGTTGTATGAGTTCTTTATATACTTTAGATATCATGATATTCATGACTTGTCAGATGTATCATTTGCAAGTATCTTCTCATTCATTTGGTTACCTTTTTATTTTATTAATGGTTTTCTTTGCTGTGCAAAAACCTTTCTAATTTGGTGTAGTCCCAATTGTTTATTTTTGTTTTGTTTCCCTTGCTTGGGAGACATATTCAAAAATATTGACAAGTTTGATGTTCAAGAGATTATTGCCTATGGTTTCCTTTAGGAATTTCATGGTTTCACGTTTTACATTTAGATCTTTAATGGGGCGCCTGGGTGGCTTAGTCGGTTGAGCGTCCGACTTTCGCTTAGGTCATGATCTCGTGGTTCGTGGGTTCGAGCCCCGCGTCGGGCTCTGTGCTGACTGCCGGCTCAGAGCCTGGAGCCTGTTTCAGTCTGTGACTCCCTCTCTCTCTGACCCTCCCCTGCTCACGCTGTCTCTCTCCTAGAAATAAATAAAAATAAAAAAAAAATAGATCTTTAATCCATTTTGAGTTTATTTTTGTGTATGCTGTAAGAAAGTGGGCCAGTTTCATTCTTTTGCATATAGCTGTCCAGTTTTCCCAGAACAATTTACTGAAGAAAGTATCTTTTCCCCATTGTATATTATTGCCTTCTTTGTCATAGGTTAATTGACCATATGAGCATGGTTTATTTTTGGGCTTAGAGAAGCTACATTTTTTTTTTTCCACTGGAGGGAATTATTTTGAGTGTCTAAGTTAGCTTTACATCTATAAGTAATTGACTTTTAGCTTCTACGTGCAACTTCATGTTTCTACCTCAGTTTTACATCATTCATTTTTTTCCCCACAGGGAATGAATCAGTATTTTGTTTATCAGATTAAGACAAATAGACTTAAAATAAAATGTAGTGGATTCAATATAAAGCTAAGTCTTTAAATACTAAGTCTACAGAAGAGTAGGTCTGAAGACCCTATATTTTTAAAGAGATTGAAATATTATATTAGTTTTCTCACACTGTCATAAAAAACCACCACAGATTGTATACCTTGAACAAAAACATTTCTCACAGGTTTGGAGGTTGGAAATTCAAGGTCAAGTTGCTGGCAGCGTTGATTTCTGGTAAGACCATTCTTTATGGCTTGCAGATGGCTGTCTTCTCACTGTGTCTTTACATGGCCTCTTCTCAGTGCCTGAGCTTTCCTGGTGTCTTCCTCTTCTTATAAGGATACAAGTCATATTGTATTAAAGTCTTACCCTGTCAGCCTTATTTTAACTAAATCACCTCTATGAAGGCCCTATTTCTAAATACAGTATGTGGATTAGGGTCCATTCATCTGACTACGTTTAACCTTAATTATCTCTTTAAAGCCTCTATCTCCAAATATGGTAACTTTCTGAGGTACTGGGATTTGGGATTTCAATATAAATTTTGGGTTAACACATGTCATCCTGTAACCGATATTCACAGGTATGAGAAGACATACCTTTAAGGATCAACTTTAAAATTGTCCCCTGACTTGTACCTAAATCATCATCTTTTCTTTTTCCTATAATCAGTCCTTCTATAACCATGTATTAAGAGGCTACATCATTTCCAGGGCTACTATAGAAACAGAGGGAGGAAGTTTATTTTGCCTTCAATTTTGAACATTATTCCTATATGTTTATGTGTAAATATATCTATTTGGAAATTGTGATGCAAAGTCCTTTGGAAAAAATATTTGGTTGAGTGTTGGTTTCCTGGAAGAACTAAAAAAGTCCATTTAATGTATAATGAGGTTAAACTACTTTATAACTTAAACACAAACTAATGAAATTCTAACTGGACGAAGTATAATTCAGTTTTTCTTGATACAAGTGGTAAAATGAGGACAATATTAATAATAACAGTGATTGATTAATGAATTAACATTCATTAAATAAACATTTACTGGACACTTGCTTTGTGTTCACGATACTGTCTGAGAGCTTAAAATACAGTATTGAGTAAGAAGGAAAAACCTTTGCTAGAATGGAGCTAATGGTCTAGGAAGTGATTGAAAAGTGATTTCCTAATTCTGATTTCCTAACAGAAGGAAATCAAGGTGCCCACAGCAATAATGCGGAGAACAGTTTTGGTGACTAAATGGTCCTGTCAGGAAACAGTTCACCCCAGATGACTCACAGGAAGGTTCTTCCTTTGATGACTCATAGAAGGTTCTTCTATGAAAGAACTAGTTAGGGTGCTGTGGGCAATGTTCAGGAAATAAACAAGGTATCTTGAGATTCTTGGAGCCTAGCCATTATCTATGCATAGATCTGAAGGGTCAAAGAAAAGAATTCCTGGTAAGAGAGATCAGTGAGAAATAGAATCATAGAGGAAAGGACAATGCAAACTATACTCGGTGGGTGGATTGGTGGGGGGGGAAACTACTTACAGAAACGTAACCCAAAGTAAGGAAGCAGTGAAAATAAAACATCTCAATTTCTGTCTCCTTCTGCTCACTATTCTCTTAATGGTTTCTTCCTTTGTCCAAATCCTACAGCAAGCCAGAAGAAGAAGGAATTTGCAAAATGTAATCTACTAGGATTAGGAGAGAAGGAGAAGAGATGGTGGGGGGGGGGATGTCAAAGGGATAACAGCATATCACTTGCACAGAGGCAGCAGTAGAGCTGAAATTGTTGTTAGAACAGTCATTCAAATATGTTATTTACAGATAGGAATACTTGTATGTTAAGCACCTTTATGAAATGAAGTTTATATTTTTCCTCTGATATCAAATCACAGAGAACACTAAGTAACATATGCAAAATATTATAGAGCCATAAAGAATAGTAAAAAATCATGAGCTAAGAAATTTACCAAAATTGGAGACTTAGGCAGAGAGGGAGAAATTAAGGTGTGTGGGCTGTCACAAATACATATTTTATAAAAAACAACTTTGAGCAACTGACCAATTTATTTAATGGTGGCTGGCTTTTTTCTTTCTTTCTTTCTTTTTTCTCTTTATATCCTGTGCTCAGCGTCATGGTAATTTCATGGCTGGTGTGAGACATTTTTTCCAATCTGTACAATGGATATGCCCTACTGGAATCAGTTTCCTTGAGAAGGCTTTGTCAGTAAGGTCTTGGCAGTGATCCCAGGGTGGCAAGAGTCTTTCTATCTTTGGAAAGAGTTGTACAGCATCTGAAACTGTTAAGGTAGCTGAGGGGTCCTTGAATTCAATATAATTGGATAGTATTTTTAGGACATTGTGTGAGCATAAATATATAAGTGATGAGGTAAATGAATCCTGGAAGAATTATAGAAAATTACTAGGTATTTATGTGTATAAAACAGCAAAACTGTAATGTTTTATAAAATCTTTTTCAAGATTTTCAATCTTTTATCATTTATCAAGATAATTGGAATAATTATAAATAAAAAAATCTACCATCTGGTCAATTTATTCCCATCTCTGCATAGTTTCTTGGCTTTCTAAAATGTAACATGATTGACAAGAAAATTCATCTTTTATATAGTTTCTAAAACTTTATCTTTTCAAATATTTCTAAATTCACTCTATCTGAACATATAAGCTCTGTAACTCATCATTTTCTATTATCAGTGGCACAAAATATACATCACTACTGGAAATAATTAGCTTGCTTAATTGCTAGATTTAATTCTATTCGTTAATTGACTGTTTATCATCTGTCTCATACATTTGTAGTAATTAAACAATTTTTATTTTGCTAAATTTTAAATTGAAAAGGTCTGATACTCTGGGAAAAATCATGCAATGTTTAATCCCAAAGGCTTGACATTGTATTTCATGGATTTGAGCATTCGTTCGCTGCTAGCCATTTACCTTGAGCAAGTTATTTAATGTCAGTAAACCTTAGTTTCTTTATCTGGAAAATGAAGAATAATAGTGGTATCTACCCTCAAAAATTCTTATGAAGAATATATTAAAATGGATTCTTGATTGGCCAGGAATTTCAAAATTTAAATTATTACTGTTGTTAATATATATAGCTCATATTGTAGATATTGAATATATCTAAATAATGATAATATTTAGTTTATAAGTATTAATCTTTTTTTATTTTAAAGCTTTTATTAAAAAGTTTATTTATTTATTTGGGGTGGGGCAGAGAGAGAGGAAGAGAGAGAATCCTAAGCAGGCTCCACACTTTCAGAGCATAGCCAGATGTGGGGCTTGAACTTACAAGTCATGAGATGATGGACTGAGCTGAAATCAACAGTTGGACACTTAACTGACTGAGCCACCCAGGTATCCCTATAAGTATCAAACTTCTTGATGTTTATATAACAATATTATCAGCACAATACAATATACATCATTCTCATACTTTGGAATATGGCATGGTTACACAATTAAGTGCATAATATCTCTAAGAATAATAGTAAATTAAATATTAAAAAAATTTTAATGCTTATTTTGCGGGGGGGGGGGCGGGGAAGGAGCAGAGAGACAGAGTCTGAAGCAGGCTCCAGGCTCTGAGCTGTCAGCACAAGAGCCCAAAGCCGGGCTCAGACTCATGAACCATGAGATCAAGACCTGAGGCAAAGTCAGACACTGACTGAGTCATCCAGGGATCCCAGTAAATTAAATATTATAAAGACTTATTATTTATTTTTTAAAGAGAGAGACAGAGTGAGAAAGGGGAATAGCAGAGGGGAAGAGAGAGAGAGAATCTCAAGCAGGCTCCACATTCAGTACAGAACTGACAAGGGGATTGATCTCATGACCTGATCACTACCTGATCATGACCTGAGCCAAAATCCAAGAGTTGGACAGCTTTGTGCAGTGGCAGTATCGTAGCCAGTGAGGCTTATCCGAGGTGCGATTATTGCTAACTGAAAATCCAAGAGTTGGACGCTTAACCAACTGAGCCACCCAGTACCCAACAATTAGTGATATTTTAAAGTAATTTATTATCGGGGCGCCTGGGTGGCTCAGTCAGTTAAGCGTCCGACTTCCCCTCATGTCATGATCTCACGGTTGGTTCGAGCCCCAGTCGGGCTCTGTGCTGACAGCTAGCTCAGAGCCTGGAGCCTGTTTCAGATTCTGTGTCTCACACTCTCTCTGACCCTCCCCTGCTCACGCTGTCTCTCTCTTTCTGTCTCTCAGAAATAAATAAAAAAAACTTAAAAAATAATTTATTATTGATGACTGTTGATAAATACGGTTTTTATATAATTAGTCCATTTTTGTATCAAAACATATGGTAATTTAATAATTTGAGTGAATTTTTTGAGGAAAATAATCCCTAAAGTTTAGAGGAGTTGTCTCTAATAAAGTTCTAATATATTTTAACATATTAACATTTCCATTGTTCTTTCCATCATTGGTGAAGCATATGTAATCTCCAAGATAAAGCAAAAATCATGTGGCCTTTCAATAACTCTAATATGAATTGAAAAGAAACTATTACTCTTTTTATTTATAGAACTATTTCAAAAATGGAAGATAAATTATTACAGTAATAGATATTTTATCTCTTACTGCATAAAAATATCAGAGCAGTAAAGCCATTTGTGCCTAAGGCTGTATTTAAAAGTAGAACCTCTAGAACAAGAAGTTTCTAGAGATCAGAATCCCGTATCTATAGCTAATACACCTTGGCTTACGTGCCACATTATACTGCAATTTTATTCTTTATGTTATGTGTAACAAAAATTTTTTTCATTTAAAGTGGCTTAAGAACCCACTTTATTTTTATTCTCCCTTCCATTGTCAAGTTTATTTTAGAGCTTTCCTCATATTGACAAAATAGCTGCAGCAGTTCCAGTCTTTGAAACCATACATCATCCAGAAATAGTAGTGCTTTTTTCCCCCTGAGGGTTTTAAATAAAAGTCCTAACATTTACTTTTTAAAATTTAGTATGGCTGGGTCGGCTAAGGTCACATCTATTTGAACTAGTCACTATACAAGAGAATAGAAATATGCTCATTGGCTTAGGTCAGTTTTTTTAAAAAATATTTTTATTTATTTCTAGGAGAGAGAGAGAGACAGCATGAGCAGGGGAGGGTCAGAGAGAGAGGGAGACACAGAATCTGAAACAGGCTCCAGGCTCTGAGCTGGCAGTCAGCACAATGCGGGGCTCGAACCCACGAACCGTGAGATCATGACCTAAGCGAAAGTCGGACGCTTAACCAACTAAGCCACCCAGGTGCCCCTCATTGGCTTAGGTCAGTTGAATGCTATGTTCTCAAATGTAACTTTCCCCAGACCACATGGGCTACATGGTGGAATGGTAGATACTCAAATTAAAACTAATGTCTTTAGGAAATAGAAAGGAACAATAGAGGCTGACTAGATGAATAACAAATCCACTACAGTCATTTTTATCAAAATCAACAAAAAGAATCACAAACATCATTGAAAGTAATCTTGGGGGTTTTGTAAATATAATTGTACATCTTAAGTTATGTATAGAAATAAATAAAAGCACATCTAAGGAACGAAACTACAGATATTACAGTAATTGCTTGACTGCTTTTTCTTCATAAAACCTCCAGTCCCAAAGGTTTTATTTTCTTTTCTGTGTAGATTTTCTTGAAGTTTAATCTGAAGATCTAGTCTTTTTTTTTTTTTAAGTTTATTTATTTTGAGAGACAGAAGGAGAGAGTGCATGAGCAGGGGAGGGGCAGAGAGAGAGAGGAGAAAAAGAATCCCAAGCAGGCTCCATGCTAACAGAACAGAGCCCTGCATGGGGCTCAAACGCATGAACTGTGAGATCATGACCTGATCCAAAATCAAGAGTCAGACACTTAACTGATTGAGCCACCCAAGCTCCCCAGGAGATCTAAGAGTCTTAAATGACTGTGGTTGTGTGTGTGTTGGGTAATGTGTTCCAAAGGAGAGTGTAATCAGTTATGAGAATTAAACACTGGTTTCAAAAATATACCTCCTGATTACTTAGCTCTTAATGACATCTGGAAGACACTTGTCATGTGGTCCATTATGCTCAGTTCAGACAACTTTTCATCTGGAAGCATTAATGATATTGCATTTCTAGATCTGGTTGAATACTGAATGATTTTAAGTATGCCAGACTATATAGTACATATCAAAGTTGCAGATGGTTTTTAGCTATCCTATTTCTCTGATGCTAGCAAATAACCACACTTGTTATTTTATGTTTATTTATTTATTTATTTTTTTGAGAGAGAGGGAGAAAGAGTGTGAGTGGGGCATGAACAGAGAGAAAGGGAGACAGAAGCCAAAGCAGGCTCCAGGCTCTGAGGTGTCAGCACAGAGCCCAACAGGGGCTCAAACTCACCAAACCGTGAGATCATGACCTGACCTGAAGTAAGACACTTAACTGACTGAGCCACCCAGGCTCAGGCACCCCTCCTCCACCTCCTTCTTTCAAATAGGCTTCTAGAACTGACAACTGTGTCTAAAGAGGCAAAGAAGAATTAACAATCCTCTTCTGTCTTTTGGTTTTTAGCAAATCACCCTGGATCAGCTGAGGCAAAACTCCAATTAGAATGAGCTTATGCGGTACCTGGGTGGCTCATACAGTTGAGTCTAGCTCTTGATTTTGGTTCAGGTCATGATCTCAGGGCCATGTAATTGAGCTCTGTGTCAGGCTCTACTCTGAGTGTGGATTCTCTCTCTCTCTTTCTCTGCCCTTCTCCTCTGCTTGCACTCGTTCTCTCTCTTAAATTAAAAAAAAATTTAAAGAGAATGAATTTTAGAATAGTAAGCCAGTATTACAACACAAGCTCAGGATGGTTTGTGGTAAAATTTGACAGTTACTTTAAATCCTTCTTTAGGGACTGAAAACAACCATTCTGTTTACAGTTCAAATAAATGAGATATAAGAGCTTGCTCCAAAACTTTTAAGGTTTTAGAGCCTAAATTCTTCAGTTATTTTTTTTAAATACACGTTTATCCACATGTAACAACTACCCAGAGCAAATAAACATGGGTTTGTATATGACTGTCTTGGAGGAACTAGAAGGATTAGGGATGAGGCAATGTTGCGTAGCTTAGAAAATATTTCCAGGAAGGACACCTCGATAGTGTGCATATCTTCAGGCCAAAGCATGCTTAAATTCTTTAGAAAGATTATAGATCTAATATTTCTTAAAATCCTCCAGAAAAGCAGGCTACACCAACGATTTGATAGTTGAGATACTGTATGTTTATGTTAAAGGAGTTACTGCTTAGCTCAGCCATTCATGAATTTATTTGTACAAAGAAGAGAGTTCCTTGTGGTTTGTACATGGTTGGGGTGGGCACTTTAAAAGGTGCAGAGATAGACCCATGGACTCTCTATAAAGGACTCCATGATCCAAAGGAGACTTTAAAAATGTCAATTCAATACTCTGGTTTAAAATGTGACAGAGAGAGAGAGAGAGAGACATACACACACACACATTCCACTTGGTTATTTTATGTGAGCAACACAGCGTGACCCAGAAACAGTGAAAACTGAAGGAAATTCAGTGTCATTTTGTTCTCTAGTGGGTTGGTAACTTTGTAAGCAACAAGAGAAGCTATCCTTCTCCTGAAATAGTATTTTCATGAAGGGTGCAGACAGCAGCAGCAGTGTGAGGGACCACATACAGAGGGCTTTGGTAGATAGCAAACTTCAGGGAAATGTTGAATTAAGACCAAAAAATTATTTGTGGGCATATATGAGACAATAGGAGTGGGGTATTGGGTGGGGGTGGTGACTATTTTTCATAATGAGAGGGAATCATAATCCAGTAATATCTGAAGAATTGCTGATATTAATAAGATTATTTCATATTGGTAAGACAATAATAGCCCACTACTGAGCTCTATGATTTTAAAAACTAAGCAAGCAAACAAAAATGAATAAAACAAAGATGATTCATGAATCTCAAGGCAAAGAATGGTATATTCCACTTATGCTCAGTGCCTAATTACTAAGTATTTATTGTACAATGCTATGTAGTGTGGGGATGTGTTTTGCTGGAATAATCTTAAGGTAGGTTTTAATGTTTTTCCTGGAGTTTCTTTCACAGTGATTGCTTAATAATGTACCCTTTGATATGTTTCCGTCCTGCGAAAGAACTGCATTCTGATTCTTGGCTCAACGTCTATTCTTAGAGGAGCTCACAGAAATACATTCCTTCATATACTTTCCATAGCACTTTAAACATGTTCTCTCTGTTTCTTAGAGGATTTTATTATAAAACATTTATTAGTTTTTATCTGTTCTGCCACTTGCTTTGGATTATGAGATGTTCTAGCAAAGGGTCATATCACATTTATCTTTCTATGCTCTTAGGTTGGACTTGGCCCCTAATGGACCTTCAATAAATTGTTCACTGTCAAAATGAACTGGAAATACCCTTTGTGTTGTCATAGTGTCTTAATCACTCTTTTTATCCTCTGGTTGCTTTAGGCTCGTGGAGTGTTCTGTTGTGCCCGAATCGCGAGTCCCCAGAGACCACCAAGGAGCCGGCACCAATGCAAGTACATAAGGGTCTTTATTACAAGCTCGAGCAGGGGCTTACCTGTCAACCGGTGCAGTGGCAGCAAGGTGAAGCCCCGAACAATAGCAAGCAGGGTTTTTATGGAGTAAGGGATGGGGGTGTTACAGTGCACACGTTGTACATATAGCATCATCACATAAGCACCAATCATAATTGTACAGCACCCATGGTAACAGTTTTCACCATTCAGTATCTATGAGGTGTTCATCACTCTTGGTGGGACCCAATCATGACTTTTGAGAATCCTTTGAAAATGACCAATTATGAGGTGAGTTCAAAGGGACCACGTGGGGTTCAGGCAAGCGGTGAGTGATTTGCTAGTTTGTACAAAGTAGCCATCTATAGTTTCCAGCCCCTGACTCAGACCATAGGAATGTTACTCCTATATTTCTTACCTTCTTTTGATTGGCTGACCTGAGGGTGGTCAGAGGGTGGCTTCAGCCTTGAGCAGTCTGAG